TCTCTCTCTCTCTCTCTCTCTCTCTCTCTCTCTCTCTCTCTCTTTTTTTTTATTTTTTATTTTTTTGTTAGCAACCTTGAGCCGTTAGCCATGGCCCCCTCGTCTAAGAACGCTACGCCGTCCAACAAGGACCGCCGGAAGTCTGGCATTGCTGCTGCCGGTAACGGCAATGCTGCCGCTTCTTCCAAGATCGTCACCCTTAAGGTGACTCCCGAGAGGCTGCGTGCTATCTTCGACCCCGACATTCTTATGGAAGATGCGCCTGCCAGCAAGGCCTCGCCCGCTGCCGCCAACTCTAACACCGAGAACGCTACCGAATCGAATCCCAATTCTCCTTCTGCTAGCACTCCGGCCGGCCAGTCCGTCATGGGTCCGCCTGCTGAGGGCCCCAAGAAGAAGGGTGTCAAGCGCGGTGCCGCTGCACTTGGCCCGAACGGCGAGCCCAAGCCTCGCGGCAAGCCTGGTCCCAAGAAGAAGCAGAGACTGTAAGTCATATCGATCGACTATTCTGTTTCCAGCAATCGCTAACAATTCCCAGTGAGGACGGCACCATCGTCGAGGAACCTTCTCGCAAGCTCGGCCCCAAGGCGAACCAAGGCGCTATCAATGCCGGTCTGCGAGCTCTCGATCGCTCAGGCAAGCCCTGCCGCAAGTGGACGCGCGGCACTTTCCAGATGAAGAGCTTCACTGGCGTGGTCTGGGAGATTCCTCGCTGGACGGCTCCACCGCGTCCGAAGCCCGAGACCGCTGCCCCTGATGACGCCGCGGCCACGGTCGCTGTCAACGGCAACGGCGCGACTCCGGCCTCGACTGCCGCTGACAACAACAGCAATAAGGAGAACAACAACCCATCGATTGCGGCAGCCAAGGTCGAGGACGCCAGCAGCCAGACGGCGGTTAAGAGCGAGATGAGCACTGGCAGCGGCGACATCGAGATGCAGAGCGTCGCCCCCAGCATCGCGCCGTCCCCGGCTCCTGTGCCGATTGCCGTTGCTTAGATAGCTGACGCTATCGCTGACGATGACTACGGTGATTTGGTCCAAGTCGGCGAGCAGATGCTTCGAAGCTTTGTTCACTTTTCTGCTTCATCTTTGATTCTTCGGCTTGTCCTTTGCTTCAACCCTGGGGTTTTCTTTATTAACTACCTACGGGAGGGACTTGCTTTCTTCGACTCATACATGTTCGGGGCATATCTAGAGCAACAAAAAACTAGGTGTTTGGGGCGTGTTGGGAATGTGTAATATCCATGGAAAGTTCTTTGGGATCTGGGCAAAATGGGTAAGGAAACGGGGAGGGATGGACGGATTCAGGCTTTGTTTTTCATCATTGATGCCTGAGACATGATTGTCATCATCTCTTCATACCCACTACTTTGGTGGATGCAACAATAAAGGGCTTTCTGAATAAGAAAGCTGGCTGAATGGGTAGGCATGGCGTTCGGAGTACTGGAGATTAGGACTAGGTAAACCTACTTTACTATTGCTGTTATTATTTATTGCCTACAGACTCTTATTATTGGCCAATAGGGGTGGTCTCTCCGGGGAGGGTCTGCCCTTTTAGCGGCTTGTACGATTAATACATTACTATTACATGCGTCTGTTGAGGAGAGGTTTTTTTTTTTGTAATTGTCATGGACTTTGGTGTTAAGGGGAAATATGTAGAAGCTTTAATCTGTTGTCTGACAAGCTGTCTGTTCGATTTCACCCTCGAAGCTGTTGGTGGGTGATATGTCTGGACCGTTCGAAAGGCCAAAGTGCAGGCGCAGTCGTCTTTAGACGGCTTTACGGATAAAATTTTTTTTTTTTTTTGCTTGATCCCCTCACGTTTTTTTTGGTTTGTCCCTTTCAGATCTGCCTAGCATGCATGCATTCTTTTATCTTTCCAAGACCAAACACATGACCAGCTTCATCCAAGGTTAGGTTGGCACGGATTGGGTGGAGTGCAGCAGCAACGTGATCCTATGGCAGATGGGGGATGATGAGCAAATATCTCATCGATGGTGCCTGATTGTCCCAGTTCCAGTTCTGGTTCCAGTGCCATCAGCCACGGAAAATTTCCAGCTGGGCCGACTCCTAAAATTGCATTCTTCTTTGGCACGTTGCAATCAGTCATTAACTGTGACAGAGTGAAGTCGCAGACAAACGGAGAGTTCCTGGCGTCGGATCGGAAGCAAGCAGCTCCGTCCCAGTTACTAGGTTGGTTTCTGCCTGAGGCGAAAACTCAGCCTGATTCAAGCGCTCCGATTGGTTGATTGCTCTCCATTAATTAGCTAAGCCGGAAAGGTGCTCGATGGCCCGTGCGCACTCTGCTGTCAGCCCCATGATCTTCTGTTTTTGGACAGCCGGTTCCTCCTCCCACTGTGGGCAGCGACCCCCCATTGACCCCACTGTCCCACTGTCCCACTCCTCCTCCTCTATGGTGTTGTCACAGCAGGCAAGTCGACCTGTGACTGAGCAAGGTGCTGCTCCAGGAAAAGAGCTTCGGCATGTTCACCATCGAGTGAATGCTGTGTGCCCGATTATGAGCTGCCAGTCTGTCTGTCTGCTGCAGAGTGAAGTAGAGAATAGTGAAGCAAAGTGCCCTATCGTGCCCTATCAGTGTCGCATCTGCCAACGTCTCACGGACAAGCCCGATCGGACTGCGACTTCTGTCATCTGACGATCACATTGAGAGAGAGGCGAGAAAGTTCACTCAGGAAGGGACCGAGCTTGAGCCATCCAGCGTTATCCATTGAATCCGAAATCCCACCACTTGGAATCAAGCGGCCTCAGAATTCCCGTCTATTCCAATCGTCGAAAGGCTAGAGGATAAGAAATAACTTTGGAAACGGGTTGTGTATCGGGAACGACCTTTTTGGCCGATTGGGCGCGATTGCACATGATTCTCTCAGCTGCATTCCTGAGGTCCATATCCTGGGCTCACAAAACGCCTGTTGTCCGTGGCCTATAGACATATCCAATCTTTTTAGTGCCATCTACATCTGCCATCCAGCTGCCCTGTCCTTGCGCCGCCATGCTCGGCTTTCCGTCATTTACCTCGGGGTGTTGAATTTATAAAAATTCCAGATTTTTTTTTCTGCTGCTGTCAACTGCAAGTCGGTAAAAGGCGAAACAGTTTGGTCTCCATCACCGGAGGCCCATCCATCAAGTCTAGTTTGACACTTAACTCCAGTTGTGTGGAGGAAGCACAGGCAGCGTGCAGTTTGGTGTTCGAGAGACCCCCATCCCAGCATCGATGACATAGTGACGCCGAGGACACGATTAGACTCAGCAGGGCCCCCGAAGTCCCTGTGACTCTCAACTTTGCTGTGAGCCTGCCACAACATTTGACGCCCATCCTCGAAACATTAGCCAAAATTAAGCAACCACCAAGACAGTGATCTCTCCAACAAACTCACACTAACCACATCATTCACCTGCGTTGCGTTCTCGAAACGCCAGGAACCTGCCAGCCTATCTCCACAGCGCCCACAGCCAACCCCAACCGCGGACCTGCCACTCCCAACGTCGGCTCTGGTCCCGCCTAAGGCAGCGTGCAGCAGCGTCACCAGATCAAAAGCGACAGAAACAAGACCGTGACCCTGGTCAGATATTGCACAACACCAGTGCAGTGCAGTGCAGAAGGTGTTTTCCGGACACTGGGGCATTGAGAATTGGCATTGACATTGACACTAGGGCTGGGACATTGAGAGCTGCCCCGCCTGCAGCGCCAGATAGCAGACGTCCATTCGATCCACGAGCCCACGACCCCGAGCCACAAGTTCAGCCGAACGACTGACCGCCTGCGAGCTTGGCTGAGTGCTGCGTGCTTGGACTACACCCTTGACGCAACCCAGCAGGCCACTGACGCTGACGGAAGCTTGCAAGCTACCCGCTTTGCCCACCTATCCCGACATCAGACATCCGACGTTGACAAGGGCCCTCAGCCATCAGTGCCATCCTATCCTGCATCCAGCAGCCATTCTGTTGCGGCCCTCGTCTGAGCGGCCCTGCAGCAGCGCCAATCTCATCTATCCAACCCCTCCAGCCCATACAACCCATCCATCCCGCCTACCCGTGACCACTATTCCCTATTCCCCTATGACGAACCCATATCAGCAACAGCATGGCCCGCTGGCCTTCCCCGGCGGAGACTCGCTAGCCTCATCCGGCATGCCGCCACTCAGCAGCACCCGCCGGCCGTCCTATGCATCCGTTGTATCCGGCGGGCCCCCGGCCTCCTCGTCGTCTCGCCCCGCCCGTTCCTCCGGTTTCTCCCACCTGCTAAACCCCACGCCCGATACCGAGCACCAGCAACCACACCAGACATCGCAGCAGCAGTCCCCGCTGAGGAACATCACCGGCTTTCTCGGAGCCTACGGCTCAGATTCCGTGTTTCAGACTTCATCCTCTTCGTCTGCCGCCGCCACCGCCACCGCCGGCTCGAGTAGTAGCGGTGCCAATACCAATAACAACACATCAGAGTGGTCGTCCCGGCCGCCGCGAACCGGTTTCCCACATTTCTCGCGCGCCTTCGATCTCTATATGAATAAAGAACCGCTGTTTCCGTCCGGGAGTTTCTCCGGCGGCCCGGAGGAGGTCCGGTTCTCGCTGGCGAACCCGATGCCCAATATCACGAATACAGGGTTTCTGGCTCCGTCATACCTAAGGGGAACAATCTACCTGCAGAAGCTGGAGGAACAGCATCGGGCGAAGCTCCAGGCTGAGAGGGAGGGCCGACTCGCGGCCAAAGGCCAGACTTCTTCGGTCTCGTCTTCGACGCCGTCACGGTTGGCGAGTAATGGGAGTGGGTTGAACCTCGCGGGGGGGTATGGGAGTAAATCGGCTTCGGGGACAAGTTCCAATACATCAGGAGCGCCGTCATTACATAGGGGAGGCCATGTCTACGATCCGGTGGAGAGGCAAACAAGCGGAAGCAATACCAACAGCAACGGGGGATCTAGCAGCAGCTCAGGGTACAGCAACAACAACTCCGCGGCCGACGACGATGAAGACATCGCGCCGTTACCCTCACGCTGGAACAAGGATGACAAAGACGCCGCGCTCGAGGTGTTGGGCGACGGCTACGAGGTGCGGCATACGGGTCGGCAGATGAGCGAGCACGAGGCGAGCGCCATCCGCGCCGACCACTATGTGTCACCATCGCTTGGTGTTTACTATTTCGAAGTTACGGTGCTCAATAAGAAGAAGGAAAAGACGCCGATTGCGATCGGGCTGGCGACAAAGGAGGTGAATTTGGGGAGGGCCCCCGGCTGGGAGCCCGGCTCGTGGGGGTATCATGGAGATGATGGACGGACGTTTCATGCGCAGAATGATGGGAAGCCGTATGATAAACCGTATGGTTCGGGGGATGTGGTTGGGTGTTTGGTGAATTTTAGGCTGGGGCAGATTTTGTTCACGAGGAATGGGCAGGAGTTACGTATGTTACACAACCTACCCTTTAACCACCTTTCTTTTCTTTTCTTTTCTTTTCTTTTCTTTTCTTTTCTTTTCTTTTCTTTTCTTGTTTTGTTTTGAGTGAGGTTGCTGACGGAGAGACAGCGGTTGCGCACCACTTTGACCTTAAGAACATCAAGGGGAAGTTATATCCCGTTGTTGGTATGAAGAAGAAGGATGATCATATCTTGGCCAACTTTGGCCAGATGCCGTTTCAGTTTGATATCGATGGTTACATGAAGGTACGTGAATGAGCTGTTTGGGGGACAGCATTTTTCTTGACGTGTTGCCGTCAAAGCGCTTGGACTGGAAGCAACGCAATTGTCCATTGTGACTGCTGAGTTGAGTCTGAGCGATGGTCTTATCTCAGGCTGCAAGTGCGGTCTGCTTACCCCAAAACCTCAGTTGACTCTTTTCTTGTAATTTTATTTGCGTTACACTTTCCTTCGTCTATCATCACTGCCCTGCTTGTTGGTCTACGTTGCATCACTATGGAGCATCAACGTACAGAGCCGCTCTCGGAGTCACCGGAGCAGCAGGAGACGGAGGAGCAGACGCTATTGGAAAAGAAGAAGTTGGTCAGGAGTGCATTGCTAAAACATCATTTCACCTTCCCGCAGAAACAACGAAACATGATTCAGGACGCTATCCGAAAGGTGGATGCCACCCGCTTGGCTCCCGTGTTCAAGACGGAGACCGAGCTGGCTGATCAGATGGTAAGCACATGAGATGATAGCTCCGTTCGGGTGAATCTGACGTTCGTCCAGGTCCTCCAATACCTCCTCCACGATGGGTACATGGAGACAGCGCAGGCCCTCGCCGAGGAACTACGTGCCGAGCGCGAGGCTCTCCAACATAACTGCGGCGCGCAGGCCTCTTCCTCCGCCGCCGCCTCTCACATCAACGTGCAGCCTGACGAAGGCGCCACCAACCGCCAGCGCATCCGCGAGGCTGTTTTGGATGGCGATATTGATTTGGCCTTTAAGCTGTGCGAGACATATTATCCCGACGTGCTCAAGGAGAACAAGGATGTTTATTTCCACCTCAGGTGCAGGAAGTTCATTGAGATGATTCGCAAGGAGGCTGAACTCAGATTGGCGTTGGAAGAGGGTCCGGCAGCAGGCAGGAGAGGTGTAGGTCGTGTGTCCTCTTCGTGTCAGCAAGCCGATGATAAGGACGAGGAGATGCTTGATGAGGACGACGATACCGCCGCCGCCGCCGCACATGGCAACGAGGACCAGGACGAGGAAATGTCCGGCATTACGGAGGCCAGTGGCATCAGCGCGTCGGAAGGTGTTGGCGTCGCGACGGCGAGCAGCACCGCTGCGTCGAGGGCCGCTGCTGGGACTTCTGGCGCCGGGGCATCTACGGTGGATATGGAGGGGCTTAGCAAGCTCTCGCAGGACGTGCTTACGTATGGCATGGAACTGCAGAATGAGTTTCCGGAGTGGGATGAGGACAAGCATCGGCAGTTGGATGAGATTATGGCGCTCATTGCGTATCCTAATCCGCTTAGGGTTAAGGAAGTGGCGCATATGCTGGATGTGTCGGCGCGCACGCAGGTTGCGGAGGCGCTGAATCGGGCTATTATGGGTATGCTTTCACTCCTCCCCTCTCTTACATTTTATCGTGGCATGGGTGCTAACAATATACAGCTTCTCTCGGCCGCAACTCCCGCTCAGCCCTCGAAAACCTCTGGTGTCAAACTACCATCCTGCTCGACGAGATGCGCAAGGATGGAGGCGACGGCGCGTTCATTTCCATCCGCAAACTCATTGACGAAATTCCTGGCTGCGAACACCAACCGAGTCACAATCAGGGGTTTAGCTTCGGCTTTGGACTGTTTGGTCTGCAGGGTGGTGCTGAGCCGTCTGGAGCTGGGACTGGGGCTGAGGATGGGAATGGAACGAGGAATGGGGAGGGAGCACAAGAAGGGCAGAGGAGGGGGAGGGGAGTTACGGTTGAGGATGCGGTTGAAATGAGCGAGTGAATAGGATGGATGGGATAAGGAGTTACGTTTTTATTGGTGATTGGGGGGTAGGTTAGGGTTTTTTTTTTTTTTCGCTGCTAGTCTCGGTTCTCTTGGTCTCTCTTCGCTTCTTCTTCTCATCGCTCTCATCATCATCATCTCATCATGCTGGCTGGTGGTTGATGGTTCATCAAAGGCTGAGTGGCTGTGTGGTTGCCTGAATTGCTTGCCTAATACTTACTAGCTCACATCATCAGCCTTCTGTCGCCTGGTATACGCACATACCTAGGTATCATGGAACTAACTGGTCGACGTAGGGGCGGCATGCAGGCTAGCAGGTGATTGACAGACGGACAAACAGACAAGCTGGTAGGCAGGTAGGACAGGTGGCACCTAGGTGATTTCTGGCCTTCTTGACCATGACACATATGCATACATACATACAGACATAACGTAAATCCTCACTTGGGTTGCATTACATAGTGGTGATTTCCTTCATGGTTTGGTGTCGATGTGGGGTTTGGTGGTGGTATGAAGGGGGTGGTTGGTTGATCTTCGGGGGATTGATTCGTTGTGGTCAAGGGCATTGTAATATGCTGGTTTCCATCTTTCTCTGGGATTTCCTTATGGTCGGTTGAAGTCTTCTCCTTTTTTTTTCTATAGCTTTCTTTGAAACTTCTCCCCCTGTTCTTAAGTAGTTAATCGACATAGATGGCTTCCTGACTGAAACTTCAACTACGGGGTTGTCTTTGCTCTATTATCTACTTTATTCTGAGTCCTGATCCCCTCTCCCTCTCCCTCTTCCTCTCCCTTTCTTAAAGATACGGGGGTGCTTTAGTTGATCGGTAATATATTTTCTTGCTTGGTTTTATTCTGTAAAGTGGTGATTCCGTAGGCTTGTGTTGGGCACTGTTAAGCTTTGTTAAGAAGTTGTTAGCTTCAGGTACGATCAGTCAAACTGCAGCATTATCGCCCATTACCGATATGTACCAAGACATATTGGGAAACCGACGTACCTACCAAGGTATGTTCAGCCAAAAATATGTACTCGAGATAGTCATTCATCCGTATTTTTTTTCTTCTTTTCTCGGTTTCGCCTTTGTTACCTTTTACTTCGCCTCTTCTTCTTTCCTTCTTATCTTTCTGTCCTCCTTTTCCTTATCTCTCTCTTGCCGAATCCACAATAGTCCTCTTGTCTATTTGGTCCATGGACTGGAAAGGCAATGATAATAGGCAACTGCTTTTCGTGGGTACGGTTTGCTTTTCCAGTTTTTGTTTTCGGTGTCGCGGTTCAGGTAACAGTTCGGCCGGGCCATTCGGGCGATCAAGCAGGAACGCTTCAGCCTCCTTGTCTCCCCCCCCCCCCCGGGGAAAACTTCATCTCAGTAGTCATCTTCCGGTACGAAGCGAGCGTCAAATGTTCTTATTTTTTTTTCGTTTATACACAGACAGAATATGGGTATCTATAATAATCCTTTTTCTCTATCCCAGCACAATCCGATCCTACCCATTCTATACTGTCTTTCATTCCTGGTCTCATTACATCACAACTACCATTCCCTTTTCCCATCCCACTCCGGCCAAGCCCTCGCCAAGATCCGCTCCCTATGTCTCGCCAGCTCCCCATTCCCGGCTTGCTTGACCATCTCCCCTAGCAACACTTTTCCGTCTCCTTGACTCACTTCCTCTGGCTTTTTAGAGGAGAACGATGAGTCAGAAGACATAAACTCCACCATAACCTGCGTATATCCAAACACCGCCGCGTCAAACTCACTCGGCACCTCGCTCCCAAAGAACCATCCCTCTTCACTCTCCCTCAAAACCTGACATAACCCCTCCATCGCCTGCTTCGCATCATGCCAAATCTCCTCGAACTCAACCATCTTCTCTAGCGCCTCTCCTGCCACACCTGATGTGCCCCTCCCCAAGGAGGAGACAATTTCTTCCGTGGCCGCGAGACGGAGTTGTCTTTTTAGTGACGAGCGGACGAGTGAGTTGGAGGAGGAGGGGAGGAGGTAGAGTTTCTCGAGGAGGGAGGAATATGCTGGGGTGAGGTAGAGGGCTGCGAGCCAGGCATTGCGGAGGTGCAGGGTTAGGAGGGGAAGGTAAGCTTCTGGACGTAAGGGGCCGTTTTTGGGGGTGGGTAAAGAGGGGAGGACGTGTTCTGGGGGGGAGTGTTCGGTGATGTATTGGGGGATATGGGACGCGGGGATCGGGGTTGTTAGAGAGGTCGAGCTTGTTCTGGGGGGTAATAAGAATGGCAATGAGCCGGAGGGAGAGGCATGGTTTGTTGAGGGGAGGGTGCGGAAGGGGATCTTTGCCAGTCGCAGGAGTGTCTGTTCCCAAATGTCAGCCTACACTCTCTTCTAAAAATTAATTGATGATCTAAACGAACCTGCCACTTTAAACACCCCGGGTTATAACTCGGAAATCCCGTCCGTGCATCCTCCTCTGTACAAAATAAATAAAGCGTTGGTAGGTCGCTTGTCGTCAGGTGCTCTGCGCGCTCAGGCAAGCCATTGGCTTCGTATGTCCGCAGGGGAAATGTGTCAAATAAGACCTGCAGCGGCCGCGGGATGGGGATCTTGCGCCAGGGCTGGGTGTAGGGCGGCGCTTGGGAGGTCATGGCGTGAGCTGCCCCGTCATAGGATAGCAGTTGTGCGACGGTGAGGGTGGTGATGAAAGTGGGAAGTGTGGACTGTGAGACGCGGCGGCAAAGGGCGTGGCTTGGCGCGTGGAATCGAAGTGGGCAAGTGTGGATGGTGGGTGGGCGGGTGAGGCTTGGGCTGCTGGTGTGACGGATGGGGCAATCCGCTTACCTTGCAGTGGGACAATCACCGTTTGGTTGGTCTGTGCGTCTTCTACCTTGACAATTGTTAGGGTTTTGCTTCAAGGAATGTCTTGGCTTCAAAGAGGTCATACACATCTCAGGGACTCAACTATCTCACTCTCATGTTACAACACCCAACTTGCTCTGCTTAGGTTAATTATTTTCCAGATGTGTAATTCATAAGGATGACAAGCTCAAAATGACAGCTCATCCCACAAGCACAAGAATTATGCAGCCATCTCCAGGCCGTCCAGCCTGAATGCAACTCAAGGCTCAAACCACGGCTCGGAGATTTCTGGAAGACTTCCGGACGCGAGCAGACAAGACACGACAAGACAAGATCAAGCGAGATCTGCAGTCGCCTTGCAGCAAGCAGGGTGCCGCCATCCGATCGCCAGAGAGATCGGGACACATCCGTCTCTTTCGACCATCCTGGTCCTGGGCTGTTGGTCCTCTTTGGGTGCCAGCGACCGGTCGACCGTTGAGCAACCGTTGCAGAGCAATGGAAGCGAGAACAGCTCGCCCCAGCAGCATGGCCTGATATTTTCCGGATTCAAGCCCATATTTTCCCGGCCAAGCTTCCATCTTTTTTCTTGCTCTCACCCGGCTCGCCGCTGGTATATGGAGTCTTTTGTCTTTGATTCGGGATGAAGTCGCCACTATCTCGACATACCTACCATACCATACCTATCCACGGAGCACGCCCGACGAGGTCGGTTGCGCTGTCAGACGGCTAAATGCCCCGGGACGAGACAACGAAGTATAACGGCGGATGACAACACGACGTGCCTGCCCAGTGGGGAAGGTGTTGGCCTAGCCTGCTCGGTCAGTATAAGCGAGTTGGGAAAGTCGACGTTGTTCGCTGCTGTTGCGGCAGGGCGAGATGAATTCCGGGATTGAAAGCAGCGGATTGAGCGTAGGCTGCCATCAACTTGATGAAGTGATGCTAAGGTTATCCGGCCCTACTACTCTGCGGCGAGGCTGTGGAGGCCCGGATACACTCGCCCGAGCCGCGGCCACATGTGAAGCTGTGGTCTCTATCAGAACATGTTTATCTATCCGGCGGTTGTAATGATCGGATAGCGCACCAGCTGGCGCGGGTAGGCCTCGGGATGGTTGCAACAAGACAGGACGCGGCAGGCGGACGAAGGGGCCGAAGACAATGATGCAAGCAACTTACTACACCCTCCCGCCTGCTGCCTGCGGCTCCGCGACCCATGCCATATGGATACATATCCCGTAAACTCTCAAGATTTCCCAGTACGGCAGCAACAGGCGATCAGCAGCGTCCAGCCGCTAGCCTAGGTGCCTACCTACGGCGTTGCCCACGTACCTGGAGGCACAGGCTCCGAGGATTCCCGCAAGCATTGCGCTGGCTTGGCAGCGGGCTGACCAGCAAGGTACTGTCCCTGGTGAGTCGTTGGCACTGTCGATTACACCATTACCCCGGACTAGGGCCGTACGATAAAACATCTCCAAAGTTCTCCAATCGTGTGTGTTCCCCCGGAAGAAGGCCGGCGCAGCGGAGACCCCGAACGGTGTCTGAGCACTGAGCACGCAAAGGAGACAAGCGGTGATACCCCCGGACCGAACGGATATGCGTCGGCGCTACTTGCTTGTGAGGAGCTGAGCTGAAGGGATCGCAAGCAAGGCTACATGCTGTTGGTTGGTTTCATGGCAAAACTCTCCGGAGTAGGGATAGCCTCGGCAGTGGCGGCGGACACAAGCCAACTTTTTTTTTTTTTTCTGGGGCTGATATGGGGACGATGACACGATAGCGACAGCGTCTTCGCTGGTGTTTATGCAAGCGTCATGGATTCGAGAAGCACTCTCTGTGTGGGAGGGAGAGGCCTGAGTCACCGCGATAAGAGAGACATGCAAGATAGCGTAAGGCCAGGCTGTTGCATGCATCAACAGCGTGGACGCAAGCAACAGCAACAACGGCGGTCTGCGTCGCCCATCTGCCGAGAGTGGCCTGCTCTGCGCTTCACCCATGTGGAAGGGCAATTTGCACTACAGCTGCTGCTGCCCTCTAAAAGGATGTCATCACTCTCACCCGGGAAAAGATGTGTCCTGGAGCAGCAAGCAAAAAGATGCGCCGCGAGCGGACCCCATCCCATCTCACCTTGCATCGGACCCCATCGTCCTGCCCCCATCACAGAGTGGGGGGGGAGGAAGGTTTCGTTCGGCACCAGCGGCCCCAGTAACAAGCGTGTTACAAGCGGGGCATCAGTGGGCCGCATGCTTGGCTTTGGCTTGGCGTTCGCTCTATGCGGGCATGGGCGCCGATCCTTTCCTCTTCCAGGGCAAAACGGCTCCTCGGTCCTGAGAACCGAGTCTGTCGCGAGGTACCCCCGAGGTACCCGCGAGGTACACTGCCAGCTGGACCCCACATGCAAGCAGCAGCGGGCAAGCATGGCCGGCGGCCGAGAACGAGCCCACATGGAGTGGATGGCGTGCGGGTGGTAGTGGTGGTGGTGGACACGGCATCCGCCATCCATGATGCTTGATCGATGATTTGCTTGACAAGGATGGGGGGCAGAGATAAAGCCGACAGGGCTGACTGGAAGAGCGGGAGAATATAAGAAAAAGACGAAAAAAAAGTTTCAAGGTCGGGCCGTTTGAGGGTCGCGCGATCGTGCGTGTGTTTCGAATTGGATTACTTATACCCCGAATATCCCAGCTTTGCTTCCGTCTCGTTGTTCTGTCGTTTGTTGTCCTGTTCTGTTTGGACAGCACTTCACTCACATCCCACGCCCGCAAACAGTAATATATTACTTTTACTCCTGACTTACCGACTCCCTACGGCAACCCTCCTCCGGTTCCAGTCTCTATTGGATTGGACCCCGCAACGCGATATCCATTATCCGTCTATATCGAACTCCGACCAGCCAGACAGTTAGCATCGCGTGACCTGGCAGACGCAAATTCCAGGGCTCGACGGGAAACATAAGTGAGGGGTCAAGCACTTTAGACTCAGCCTGATAGTGGTCCTGCGTTCTCGCCTCTGCACTCTCCCGCGCTTTCGCAAGGCCGTCCACTCGTCGCGGTGGTCTAAGACCGAATTGCCGGCGCATACTACCGTACCTGCCGTATACTCTTGCACGTGAGACCGACCAGTCAAGGCAGCCCCTCTTCTCGGAGGGTTGGGACCGATTCTCGTCATAATTACAATTAGGGTCCTTCTGGCCCCGGACTGCCTGCGATCTGCTCTGAGGAACTCGAACATCTTCTCGGCGGTACATCCCCCCGCCTCTCTGAAGAGCAGCCTCGCCTTCACGAGCCTAATTTTTCAATTATCTCACCTCTCTAAACCAATCAAACCTACACCAAACAAAAATGAACGCCTACACCTCCTCTCCTACAACCTCCACAACCGCCTCCTCAAGCCAACAATCCCCCGTCTCGTTGAGCAGTAGTAGCGGGGGTGTCGCGGCCCTGAACAAACTGGTCCCGCAGCCGCCCGCCACACAAAGGACTACATCGAGCAGCACGGAGCCGTACCTCAGAGACTTTACGCTGGTCGCAGAGGCGGCGAAACGAGCACAGATGGCGGTATTGATGAGGGATTTCGAGGGGATTGGCCTGTCATAAGCGTTGTCTTTCTCGAGATCTCAACCGGTTGGGGATGTGGCAGATGCTGTGTGTTGTCCAACGTCCAGAGAAGAGGAAGGGGGTACATAGACGTCTGGATGCTATAGACGTCAAGCTGTCATCGATCGTTGTCAGTGGGGTCTGGGATTTGGAAGGGTTGTCTCCTCTCTTATTTCAGTGTTTGTGATCTGGGATCTGGTTTTGGCTTTACGTTTCGGTTTGGGTTTGGGTCATAAGAATTGGGATAGGTTCGGTTGGGTTGAGGATACCATGCATGTACGGGAGCTTGGTTTAGGAGCGTCAGAGGGGATTCTAATACTTTGGAATAGGGGGAAGTGTATGGACAGGCCGAGCATGGTCCGGCATTAAGGCATACCGGTAGTTCTGTTTATATACAGACGGTCCATAGACGGGATAATGATGAAGGGGTATTGATAATCGAATTTTGTTTCTGTCGTTGCCTCAGGCCAAGTGTGAAAGACGTGTGATAGCGATTTGCTGTTCTCAAGACGTACCGAGACTAGAGCATTACGATTCAGGTCCAACTCTGAGTACACCTTCGCGGCTCGTCAGGGATGGAAAGACATACTTAATGGCATCAATCCAGAAGTAGTTTATCGCCATCAGCTGTCCTTGACCTAGGCATGGAAGGTGTAATGATCAGATTCATCTCCCACGTTTCCCATCAGACTGGACAGTGGACAGGTCCATTATGCTGGTCAAGCTTCGCAAAGGGATATCTCCCAGCCCTCGACCATTTCTCACTGGACAAACTGCTTCACCAGGAATTGCAAAACAAACAAACAAACAAAACATCAATCAAAACCCTAAATTCCTCAAACCCCAACCCCCCCCCCTACTTCCCTAGATCTTACTCTGCAAACTGACCCCCCCATCCACTCGAATTGTCGCGCCATTCACAAACCCACCTGCCTTACTCGCCAAAAACAAACAAGCACCTCCCACATCACTTGGTAAGCCAATCCTCCCAAGCGGATTCGCCGCCCTTATCTCCTCGCCAAACGTCTTCAGCGTATGCGCCATCATCTTACTCGGGAACGGCCCACACGCCAGTGTGTTGCTCGTAATCCCCCTCGGCCCCAGCTCCACGGCCAAATGCCGCGACAGGTGGTGCAGACCGGCTTTGGAGCTGCTGTACGCGAAGGTGGGCAGCTTGGGCACGCGGATGCCGTCGATACTGCCGATGTGGATGAGACGCGCGGGGTCGACGATGACGCCGTCGGCGGAGCGGACGGCTGCCGCCTCGAGAAGAGGCGTGAGCAACTGGGTAAGGGTGAATACGCGATGGAGGTTCAGAGTCAGGAGCTTAGTCCACGCGCTGTCGGGGTACTTCTCATACTCCTCGCCCCAGGTCGCGCCGGAGTTGTTGACCAGCACGTGGAGTTTGGATTCACGCTTCTTGAGCTCCTCGGCAAGGCGCTTGCAGTCGTCCAGTGAGGCCAGGTTCGCGGGGATGGCGATGGCCTGGCCGGAGGAGGGTTTGCCGGGGAGGGCGTTAAGCTCGGCGGCTGCGGCGTCGCAGGCCTTGCCGTCGCGCGAGGCGATGTACACGCGGGCGCCGTTCCTCACAAAGGCTTCGGAGATCATCCGGCCAATGCCCTTGGCACCGCCAGTGACGAGGACGACTTTGTCCTGGCAGATTGTTAGTGGGCTGATTTTACATCGCGGGGATACGGAGCGACGTACCTTGACGGAGAAAAGCGACTCCAGATCCATTGTGAATGTTTCGCCTGGGGTAGAGTTACAGAAATGCTACACCAAAGTTGATGAGAAAGAAACGCAGTTGAACCGGAGAGCAAGGTTGAAGTAGCAACTTAAGGCAAAGCCGGATGTTGATGTCCGGGACATGTCAGCCCGGAGCCGAGCCGAGGCATCTTCGGTGCCGGGTCCAGCGCAAGGGATCCGCCGCCAGAGGGAACACTCCGATTGGCTAGGGCCTGATTAAAGTGGACAGCTAGCCGTTGTGGGGTTAGCGTAGTCTGGGGAGGTCTGGGGCTTGGGTGTGAGGGACGACGACAACTTTGGAGACGAGATCTTGAAGAGCATTTAATACGAGAGTCGAGAGATCTATCGAGTACCTCCTTCTGGAGTGACATGATTTTGCCAAAGAAGTGGAACAGGGCATATAAACTTTCCAGTACTGTTCTACCCTGGTCTTATCCCGCGGTATATCTAAGTCATAACAGCAGATACGGGAACATTCCTCACGCGCGAAGCTGGCAAGAGTGAAAGGCGCGCGCCAAAGCCGTCAGCGAGAAGGACAAGCTCGTCTAGCATCCCAACCGAATTCCATGTTCATTCAATTCATGACGACCTGCCAGGTACACTCAATGTAAAGAATATCCATCTATAAACCCCCTCTTCCCTACAATTTTGCATTTTAATCACTCTTCCTCCTCAACGAATTATAATGCTCCCCCAGACTATAATCATGCCTATAGTATGCCAACCAAATCGTCTCTCTCTCCTCATCGTCACCCCCCTCCATTGGAGACACAGTCTCAACCCTCCCCTCCTGCACAACCTTAATCTCAACTCCATATGCCGTCGCTAGCGCCAACAATTCCACCTGCCCGCCCCACTCTCCCGTATCCCGTATCTTCCTTACATACTCCTCGAAATCCCCCTCCACAAACCCCTCAAATACGTCCCTGTGTCGAACCAACCTCTCGGCAGCTGCCCTTCTCACAATCTTATAAGGCGGCTCCTTTTTCCCCTCTCCGTCTTCCGGTAGAGGCGCAACGCCCTTGTACAGATCGATTGCCTGGTCGGCTAGGGCATCGGCAATGGCCGCGAACATGCAGTGCCCGTCCGGCTCGATCGGTTGCTCGACGAGACCATGTAGATCAAAAACCGGCTGCATGGCCTGGCGTTCGCGCGCGCGCTGGTCAGGCATGGCGGCGGCTTCGGCTTCGGCTTGGGCCATGAGAGCTTCGGTCTGGGCTTGTTTGCGGGCGAGGCGTTCTTTGTGGCGGTTGCGTTTCTTTTTGGGCTGCTGCTGCTGCTGCTGCTGCTGCTGTTGTTGTTGTTGTTGTTGTTGTTGTTGCGGTTCGGGTTGAGGCTTCTGTGCTGGCGCCGGTGCCGGCGCAGGAACCTCATCGTCGAGCTTGACCTCCTTTATACCGTCCACAAGCTCATCCTCCTGCTCCGCAGCCTCCTCAGACAGCCCTAGTTTCCTCCTCAACTCCCCCATTTCCCTCTGCTGTCTGTCTCGCAACTCCCACTCCATTCGAGCACACTCGTCGTTTATGAAGTTTCTTGTCTTTTTTGTCGCGTTCCGCTTCTTGTTTGCGATGCGGGACTGCAGCTCGCGCTGTTCCTTTATGTGGCGAGCTTCCATTTGTTCGAGGGTTTCTTTCCCCTCGGTTGGGGTAGGTTCGGTGCCGTTGGGGAGGCCATTGGGTTCAGGGGCGGCGCCGTTCGATTCGGGGGAGATGAGCAACGTGTTGAGGTCGGATGGAGAGTCGCCTGGTGGGGGAGTTGGTTGGGACTTTGAATTTGATTTTGATTTGGAGCCCATTGTGATGATTGTCAGGGTAGGTGTAGTCGTGGTTGTCTCCGCTTGTAGCGATGGCGAGAATAGACGAGCTGCTCGTGGCTCCCTTGGTCAATGGGTTGTTGAAGAACCGAGTTTTCTGCTGTCGGAAGAATTGGGCGACTTCGAAATGTCAGACGAGCAGCTGTTCTGAGCGATTACGTAGGTCGACGGTGCAGTTGCCGATTTCTTTCTGAATGATGTAGCAGGTAACTGGCAGGCTATACCGCAAGATGCGCGGATGGCAGGCAATTCGGTCTCGAAAGTCGTGCAACGAAGAACGCGCTGTTCGCGAAACACAATCGCGCTTCAAAGTAGGGTGTTTGAAGTTGGCAGGGCTGCCAGGGCACAGGCGCTGGGACCCAAATTGATGGCGGGGCTGGGCGATAACGGGGCGCGGGGCAAACGGTTGTGCTGGAGCCAGGGTTAGGGTTATAGTGACTTTGAAAGATTCAGTCAACATGAGAAATTACCCACTTTCCCAGCTCAACAAAAAGTCGACCAACTCTACTTAGTCAACTTTATACAGTCGACCCTACTTAGTTAGCCCTGCTTAGTAAACTTCATCTAGTCGAGTTTACTGAGTTAACTCTTTAAAGTAGACTACTGAGTCAACCCTACTCAGTTAACCCTAGTTAGTCGACTTTAAAACAAAACTAACTTTCCACAGTGGACTTCTCTTGGTTTGCTTTGTGTTAACTATGTTTCTTACTCGACTTTTCCATACCTGATCATCCACCAAATTTAACCGACTAACTAGCTAGCTCTTAACCAAATTGCATCTGAAATATTGCATCTTAACTCCAGCACATACATCGCAGGGAGGAGATATACACATATGAACCGCTACTTTGTCTTCCATTTTTCTAATCCTACCCTGCTTAAAGAACCTAGCACTAACTAACCCCTCTTTTCCCCTGATACGTTTGATCAAGAAAAGTAAAACTATTATACTATACAAAACAGAGGAGAGTCGCAAAAAGAGGAAAGGAAACAAAACAACACGGCAGTGTGATATCAAAACGTGACTTCAAAACGTGCCAATAATGAGCGACGTGAAGACCAAAAACGACCATCCCCTTCCTCAAGACATGATATATATAGTACACACACCTTATTTTTACCAGTTGGTTAAGAGTAGTAAAGAAAAAGTCAGTCCCAACCAGACAGAACCGAAAACCAAAAACCCGCCACCGAAAAGAAGCGAAGTGAGATGAGAGAACAGAGAAAAAGGGAAGGGGGAAAAGAAAACGCTGTAGCGACAGCCATACGCCCGCCTTTCTCTCTCAGTAGCAGGGCTATGGTATATAACGTTGGCCAACCAACAAACAAGGAAAGCAAGGGGGGAAAGAACCTGTCAAAGAGCGACTTGTTATACAACCTTTTCTTTAACTCGCTTATTCACTCATTCCTCACGTGTCCGAGTCTCCTCACCCTCAGCCTCCCCTTCAACCTCTTCCCCCACCTCTTCACTCTCTTCCTCCGTCCAAACCATCGCTTGAAGGCCCCCTAAAACCCCCCAAATGGATCCCCCACAAACCACTCCCCGGCAACAACTTCCCCATCTCCATCTTTACTCTGATAACTATCCCTCTTTCTCTCACTCACATGCGCGCCCCTCCCCCACCCGGCACGTCGACTCCATTCTCTTGAGCGTCTGTGCGCGAGCAATGTGCTGCTGCCCAGCCGAGTGAAGTCACTTTCGTAGCCGTATTCTGTGGCCGACATGGACATTGAGTAGGGGGATAAAGGTTCGGGGTGATCGTAGCGACTGAACGAGAGGGGGGAGATGAAAGCTTCCATGCGGACTGTGCCGACTGCGTCAAACATATTCCCGTTACCGCTGTTCATGGTGGTAGTGTTATTCCTCGAGGAGAACGTATCCACGGTGCGTAAGCTGCCTGTGCCGGTGCCCGTACCGGTCGTGCCCCACGTGAGAGATCCCGAATTGCTAAACACCTCCGAGCCAGCGGTGCTGTTCGTCGCGGTGTGATACCCTGTGCCGCCTCCCATCGGGCCCGAGAAGCCACGGAAGGAAAGTGGCGGGGGTATATGTCCGCCGGTGTTACTCCTCTTCCTGCCATGCACCACCCCGGGGGAGTGATAATGCATCAAGTTGGCCGTCCTGTCCAAGAACCTAGGCACAGAAGGTGGTTCGGCCGCGTCGCGGGACATGTCCCTTGCATGAGCGGGCAACTGATACACGTCTGGCATTGGGGGCCTGTACGTTGGGATACTCGGCGGCGCGCTGTCAATTGTCGGCGAAGGTTCCGGGGGCGGGATCGCCGGCGAGGCCAAGGGTTGCTCGTGTACTGTCTGTTGCTGTTGCTGCGCCTTCTTATTATCATGATGATGGCTGAGCGCAAACCCAGCCTTAGCCTTCGTCAACCGGATCGAATCTCTTATCGGTCTTCTCTTCGGCTTCGGCAGCTCGTATTCCGGCGGCGGGGGCACAACCTGCTGCTCCTGATGCTTCCGTTCCTGTTGCTTCCCGCTCTTCGCGTTCGAGGCCGGATATGGCTGCGGCAAAGGCAGCGCCAACGTCTCCGGAATAGCCTGGTTCGAATGCGCCAAAAACGACAGCGCCGTCAGCCAGATATAATGCCTCTCGGCACTGACGGCTGTAAACTTCAACGCCCTCTGCGGCGTCAAGATGAGGATACTCCGATTAAACAACGGTCCGGCCCCCTTCGGCGGCGGATTATCGTCCTTAACATCCAGCACTGACTGAATCGCGAGCTTCCTTCCCGCCTTCCCCAGCAAAGCATTATTCGACGTGGGTTGCTTGCTAGACCACAAAATGGCCCTTTCGTACGGCGCAAGCCACACCCACCGCCTATGCCGGTCGTTGCTGCTGTCATCGCGGTTTCCATCACCCACACTAAAGGACTTCCTCCTCCTGACATACTTGAACATCCACTCGCCAACCATCGTCTGCGCGATGGCATCCACCACCGTCGTCGGCTGCCCTCCGCTAGCATTCCACGACCCAGCATGCGACGCAGACCCGGTATCCCCCGTCGTAGCGGTCGTCGTGCTCGGCTGCGAGCGATGGCCCCTCCAGCGCGACCATCCGTCTCTTGTCGCAGGCAAGGAACCACCGTAATCGCTCATCATGGGCGGCAGACCCGGACTTTCCAGTGCGCTGCTCGCGGCAGGCGAGAACGGTGGCGGCGAGCGCGATGTCCTCCTCCTCGGCCTCGTGCGCACCCCGATCCCCGCCGTCCTCGCCTTTCGGATGCTCCCAGCCCGATAATGACTGCGGATCGAGCTCCTCCTAGTCCAAGCATCCGAGCCACGGCTGGGGGTCCTGACCTCCGCTGCAGGCGCAGTCCAACTAACAGGCGGCTTAGCCCTACTACTCGCCCTCTGCGGAATCGGGAAGGGCGGCTCGCGAGCATGGTCCGTCAGACTAGGACTCCTCGCCCTAGCATGAGTAGCGATGCCATTCTGAATCAGCGCCGTCTTCCTCATATAGCTGCCCGACATCCTATTCGCCCCGCCAGAAGTAAGCATGGACGCCCCCCTTCCCCTCCTCGACGAACTCCTCCTCGCCACACCCATACCCTCCTCCTCAAGCGAATCCAAATCTTCCAACGCCTTCACAAACCTCGCGCTCTGTGCCTTAGGCGACAACGTCTCGGACACTGACCCCATGGAACTCCTCTTCCCTGCCTTCACACTTCCATTCTGCGGCCTCGGCGCCGACAACGCAGTCTTCCACTCTGAGTCAGACACATCCGCGTCCCCGGCCAAAAATTCATCCCCATCATCCGAGTCATCACCAAATCCCGCAAAGAGGGAGCTGATCCTTGGGGGACGACGTATCGGTGCACGGACGTGGGATGATAAGGGTCCGTCGTCGTTGTTGCCGGGGTACATGTCGTGGGTTGTGGAATCCTTGGACCAGATAGAGGCCGGCGACGCCAACGGGGGGGAGACGGGCGCGTCGGAGGTGAAGCTGCGCTTGGTGGCCAGGCGGCGCGGATTTCTCGGGGGCAGGTTGCCCGGGACGGGGGAGAATTGTTTGGTCTCATCGCCCTCGGCGACCTCGGCGGCCGGGGATGACGGTCTGGACTTGATAGCAGAAGGATGAAGATGAGGAGGCAGCTTCGCCAGTCTCAAATCAACCCTAATCTCCTCCGTCTGCATGCCCGACGTGACATACGGTACAGCCGGCAGACTAACCTGGCACCCAAAGTCCTTGCACAACGGCGGCAGGAGATGCTCCCTGCCAGGAGTACTCGGCCTGCTCGAAGGCGGAATAATGCTGATCGTCGGAATGGGCAACCCCATCGCCAGATTCGCCGCCGTCAGCGGTACAGGCACATCCTCGGTCTGCGTCGAAGCCGATACCATCTCGGCCTTGGGCGTCGGCGCGGGCGTCGGCGCAGGCGTCGGCTCCTGGAAGGGCACGGGCATGCGTGGCGTCTTGGGCGGGCTAAGCGGCTCATCAATAGTCTGACACGAACCGTTGACCATCAAGCCGGGCATCTCCTTCGCCTTGATAGCCAGCGGCGAGTGGCCGATGTGCACACGCTTCTTACGCTGGTTGGCCTCGACCTCGGGCGTCGGGGTCTCTGACCGCGGCGGACTGTCAACGTCAAAGAGCCTAGCCACACGCTGCACAAACGACGTAGCCGTCTTCTCCGGCGGGGTAGCCGGCTTCGGGGGTGAGAGAGGCGAGATAGACGAGACAGGCGATTTGGGAGAGACGGGGGAAGCCTTAGGCGACGGCGGCGGCGAGTACTGAATGCCGGTATCAACATACACCGGCCTGGGAGCCGGCTCCTCCGCCTTCTTAATGACGGCGCTCTCCAGCTTCTCCAGCGCAGCCGGGTTGAACACCAGCTTTCCTCTCGTAACGCTCCCAACGCGCATAACACTGTCGCTGCTGAGCTGGCGCTGGTGTCTTGATGCATAACTGTCCCGACTGAAATGCCGGAAGTTGGTCCCATTCGAGAGCACACTCTCCCTTCCTCCATAATCACTATCCTCATCCAGATTCCCCAGCTCATCCGCCAACGACGCGCCATTCGCCTTAATCATGCTCGCCGCGACCGAGAAGCGAATGCTATTCGTCAGACTGAGCGTCCTCACACTGGCGGTGTCGCTGCCCTTGACGCTTTCCTCGCCGTCGCTCTCCTGTGCCTTGGCCTGCGCGGCCTGGAAGGCAGCGACCTCCTCGAGCACAGCTTTCAACCTTGTCTCGGCGACATGTACCCTGCGATCCAACTTCCTCTTTTCCTCTTCCCACTCCTCTTTCTCCTTTGCCCACTGCTTGTGCACGCGGTCAGAGTCCTCCTCCAAGCTCTTAAGCTTCTTTTGTGTCGTCTCCAACCGCTTCCTGGTCTCATTGACCAACTCAACTGCCTCATCACGTTCTTTAGCCAGCTCCGCAAACGCCGACGAGGTACCGCCCTCTAACAAAGACAGTTGTCTCTTCAACGAGCGGCTCTCCTTGCCCATAGATGACAAACTCGCTTGCAGCGCCTCCGACTCCTCGCGCGCCGCATGCAGCGAGGACTCCAAACTCTCAATCAGCTTCAGCTTCTCTTCCTGATCCCGGCGCAGGGAGAGTATCTCTGAAACTAGGCTGGCATGCAGGGTCGGCGTAAACCGGCGCGGGTCGAGGATACTTATGCTCTCGTCCAGGGCAGCATCTTTTTCGCGGGATTGTCGCTTGGAGCTCTTCTCGCCTGGCACTGGAGGTGGTGACCGGGACTTGCCCTTTTTCCCGGGCGGCGTGCGCGAGCGGCGGGATTTGCGTGAGCCGCGCGATGCGCTGCGCGACAGGTCCGGCATAGAGGAGGCCGGGCCGGGTGATTCGTACTCCGTCTCCCAGACGTCGGTCATGGTGATATGTGCGGGTGTTGTAAAACACTAGTTGTTGAGTGGATACCAGTCGAATACTTAGGCCATCTCACAGCTCATATCGCGGCAGCTTGTAAGTCGTTAGGAGCTCCAACCTCGATGATCCCCCTGTTCTCGTCGGCCTATACCAGAGCTCCTCCAAACGGTGTTTCAACCTGACGCAGGTCGGCCGGGATCAACGCGATTGAAACGTCCGTATAATTCGGTTCGGCAACAGTTTTAAGAGAACCAAACTTTTAGTGAGCGTCTTTAGGATCGCACTTCGAAAAAAATCCTTATGAAGGGAAAAAAAAATATAATAAAAAAGGTCCTTGTCGTCGCACGTGGCGCGTGTCGTCGCTCAATTGACGTCGAGGCACAGGCCAGATTTACCCCTATAGCATGAGTACTAAGAAACAATAAAATCTAAGCCAAGCCCGGCATTGGCGACTTGTTGGTTTGGTGTTGCAAGTGATTGCAGTGGTGGTGTGCACGAGTGTACCAGTATCCGAAGAGGACCAGACAGTCGGCGCTGCACACCTCAGGAGAAGGTTCTCATGCAATACGGGGCGAACTGTGTTATCAATATAACGGCGTGGTGGTGTGAATCTCACTCGATCGAAATCGAATTATGCAGATCGACCCGGGCGGATGGTCTCGTGTTGTCTACGGTTCGTGTACCAGCGGGAACCAGTGCCAGCGCTTCTAGAACACCGAACTGAACGACTGTAAGGCTGCTGTGTTGCAAAGCACGCCAGCTCCAGTCAGTCAGACTGCGTGATGTTGTGGCATCCGCCGGGGGGGGAGGGGGCGGGCGGCGAAGCTTTGGAGAGAGGGTCTCGTGGCACGTGGCACGTACGTACCTGTACCTTACCGTTGAGCACAACAGCGTCGAGTCAAGTCAAGTTACTGCCGCGGCAGTTAAAAAAATAACGAACGAATGAGTGTTGATAGAAAACGAATGTAGAAAACGATAAAAAAAAATTGTTTGCGGCGAGAGACAACAATCGGAGTATCACAGCGCGGCGCGATGAAGTCGAAGTTGTAAAAAAAAAAAAAAAAACCGGCTCCGGCGAAAGGGAATGGAAGCGAAGTAAACACCTGAGGAAAGCAAAACTTTCCTTCGAAAGCTCCTTCTTGAGTATCTGTTCCCTTTTTCCTTTCGAACAAACACAAATCAACAAAGCAGGAGCGAGCGTCCCGGTCTCCAGCAGATAATGGATCCTTTGGGTCTTAGTCGTTGGGATGGAGTCGCAGCTGAGTCGAGACTCGACCTTGGGCAATCCGTTTACTCGATGTCGTCGTCGGTCGTAAGGTGAGTCGTGCGCAAGGAAAGTAGCTTGTCGACCAGCTTGCTGCTTGCTCTCTTGTCGCACCTCCCAATTGACGATGCCCTCCAAATATTGAAGGGGGGCAATGGTCAGGCTTGTCGCTGTTGGTGGTGGTGCAAAGAGAAGCACAAACACAACACAACACAACCACAACAACCAGACAACGAAAGAAAGAAGCAACAGAAGAAACAAAACACAACCCCAACACCAAAAGGTGTGCCCGAACAGGTGAAAATGGAATTGTCCGTACAGACCCTTGGCGCCGGTGTTGCTGATACCCTGGACGAAGTGGATGGGAAAAGGAAGGACTGGGGTCACTTCTGTTATGAGGGCTCCACTTTTGCGACGAGACCCGTCCGATCAGCACGCTCTGTGCTACGGGAACGCGAGCGACGAGGGGGATTGAGATCACGGAGGACTCCCTAGTCCCTGTCTCTTTTTGTCTTTTTTTTTTTGCTGACTGTTGGCTCCTCTTTTTTGTGCTTGGCACTGGGGTTTTGGCATGATGAATTCGAGGCAGCGCTCCCTCTTTTCCCTCTCTCGTTATCCATCCACTGGATATCAAACAAGTTCCCCCCTCCTCTTCAGGCCAGAGGCCGCACCATTAGGGGTGTGAGCCACTTCTGGGCCGTAACCCGTGGCATGTGGTGTGTAAATGTGGGAGGGTGTGCAGCAACCTGCAGCATGCAGCATGCAGCATGCAGACAGCTGCAGAAGCCTTGACACCTATGGGTCGCCAGCATGGATGGAAAGGGCCAAGACAAGGTCCCCAGGGGGTTTGTTTCCAATCTCCAACTCCGCTGCCCACACTGCCTGTCCCTGGCTGGCCCCAGTCCCAAGACGGAATGTGGGTCTGGAGCACAAATCGGGAGCTTGTCGACCTCGACAAGTCAAGAGCCTGAAACCACGGGCTTGGCATGGGACCTCCGGTGTGGAAGTGGAGGATGTCGCTGATGATGAAAGAGAGCCAAAAAGGCAAGGACCGGGGGGGGGAAGGGGGGGAGAGGGGATGTTGGTGATGAGATGAGATGGATGAAGACGATGGCCCGTTGAGGAGGAGGTTTATCCCAGCTCCGCGGCTGTTTCTTGAATGACTGTCCTCGTCTTTGCAGTGGCCGGCTGCAGCGCTGTAATGGCGCTGCAATGGCTCGCTGTAAAGAGAAGCTTGCCAGTAAAAAAGAAACGCGGCTCGAAAATTGCTTGAATTGAGGTTGCACCGTTCGTGCATGTTTGCACGTGTGCTTCGGCACAACCTCCGTACTTCTTGACTTCTCGAGAGTCGGTTCATCTCGTGTACGGAATCCTCCCTCCTCGTTCCGCAGGGGAAGCAAACCTCGTCACGGTCAATCATCATCAACAGCCTGGCCAGGCAACGCCGAGGACTTGGACAACAACTAACGACCCGGCGGATTGGATTGGTCCCATACCGCGGCCGCGGCCCATCCTTAGGCATTCTTGGCCTTTGCTCCCATTCTCGATTCCCAACACCACATGATGGGGCCAGTTGCCCGCCTCGTCAAATTGACATGGCGTGTTTCGAGTTTCAAGTCCGGAAAAGGCGTGCGCGCGCTGACAAGCCCGGCCCGCCTGCGCTGGAGTTCAATGACCGTGATCGAATCGAACCAGCTGGCTAACAAGCGCCTTGTGGACCTTTTAAGTGAGGACAAGTTTTGTTGTTCTCGTCTTGAGCAAGTTTTCAAGTTGCTTGCGACTTATCTCTTGTAGGACAATTGAAGCGAGACTGAGGGAATACCTACCTCAGGTAGGTATGGAAGAGTTCCGTCTCTCCAACAGATTTCCATATTTCTCTCATCCTTTTCTCTCCAGCAAGATCGTCGCCATTCGGCGCATTGCAAAGTGTAACCCAGCTGCAAGTTCCCAGAGCTGTGGCTTGACTTCTATCCATCACAATCACAACGTTCCAAGCTGGCCGCTGCGACTGTCGCTTCTTTCCAAACAGGGGTCCTTGTCTTGCCTTGTCTGCTGGTTCCTTTCGAGGCTTCGACGATGCAATGGAAAAACCCGAGTTCCTGGAAAGAAAGGAAGCCGAAGGAAGACGAGCAGGGGCCAGGCAGCCTCACGCAAGCACCAGAAAATGTGCCTGGGGAAAAAAGAAAAATGCGCGCTAGGCTCTTTCCGTCTGGTAAGCGTTCTGTGAGGCCGTGCATCGTGCATTAGCCAATAGGAATGCGAGCCTGAGAAGAGAGACAACAAAAGCCAATTTTCCTCTCCGTGATAGGATTGGACGATTCTGTGGGGCCACCTTTTCTTGGGGGGCTTCCCTTTCCTTCCTCTTCGTCCACTTCACAGGCTGATGTGCCGATGAGGATGATGATGAGTCGCGGTGCACAAAACGCTGAACCACAAAACCACGACAGCGGGAGGGCACTTTGTGCGCGACTCGGTTCGGGCCCGAATCGATTGTTTGACCTTTGGGACAGGACCGAGTTCCAAACCTCAGTCAACAATGGCTCTTGCAGTTCAGCTTGAAACTTGACCATGCCAAAATCCATCAAAACCAAGTTGTGTTGGTTTCAACAACTGAGCTGACGCCGAGATCGTGCGCAGAGCGGAGCTCGTCATCACCCGTCTTCCTATCTGTGGCTCGGTCCGGAGTGCAATCACACCGGCCCTGAGCCTAATGAGCCGTAGGAGCCGTAGCCGAGCTGTGACACTCGGCCTTGTCTTGCTCGTCCCGTAGAGAACGGCACGGATCCCACAGTCCAACGATCTCTTTTCTACAGACTGTTGTTTTCTTACAGGCGCGGTTCCAACGGCGTCACAGTCACTTCCCGCACTCGTGTATGTCGTGCGAATGCTACACTACGTGCAAGCGCAGGCTACGCAAGTGCTGTAGTTAAACGTGCACTACCTTCCCGAGTCCTCACTCTGCCGTGTTACTCCGAGATGTTGGGTGTGCTCTACGGATCGTGCTTCCGTTGATGCACATGTTCAACCTTCTCAAAAAAAGATTCTTCAACAATCTTCTTCAAGATGGTGTGTGTACCCCAAAGTTGGTGTGCGTGGTCTGTGCCCTTTCCCCCCCCCCCCACCACACCACACCACCAAACCAGGAACCTCGGGGAAACGTTCCCGGCGCGGTGTGGGAGGACGTGATGTGATGGAGGGGCGGAAGAAACAGGAGTCCAAACTTCTTCCCGATTTCTTTCCCTCCTGTTGTGTGACGATCCCTTTTGGGTGCAGCATCCCAGAAACAATCAACAAAAAAAAGTAGTGTTTCTTGCTGAGGAACACGAAAAAGTTGAACGCTGGATTTGGCACTGTCCTCCGTCCAAGATCACATCCCATTGGCGCCGGCAATGGAGTCTCGGAGATCACTGGTTGTCGTGGAAGAATTTCCGTTATTAGCTAAATGCCGAGCTGATGTACCAGTTATCAAGCAGCTAAGGAAAGAAAATGTCCATCGGTGATGGTGAAAAAACAGGGTTTTAGTGTCAAGTAAGCAGACCACATCCAAGATATATCTGAGCTGGCCTTCAACAAGTGTAAGCACTACCCTTCATTTTAGCTTGTGTGATCGACCCGCGACAGGGCTGAACGAGGCTGATGACAAAGATCTTGATCAATGATCGATCTTTTCTTGTAACCCGGGAGTTGGCAAGCAAGACAACAAGACCTCACATAATGAATTCAATTTCACATCCTGTGGGGGTTGACATCAGTGTTGATCACAAAAAAGAAACTCAACTCAGACCAGTCCAAAAGGGAAAAAAAAA